TTTATCACTGATAAAATAAAAATTCAGTGCAGCTAATGTTTCAAACTGGATGCATCCATCATCATCATAATCTATAACTCTCCTTTAGTTCTAGAAGACAGTGAAATATTTTTTCTTCTGACAGAAATCACACTCCAGACACAAAAATACTGAAGTAAACCCAACTTAAGTAAAACGACAGTTTAAGAGTAGTCTGTATTTCTCACAGTATTGTGATCTTAACTCACCTGACAACTTTATTCAGGATGTAGCTTGAGTGGCTTTGGAGTCCAAAGAGATGACAAAAGAGATTTTCAAAGCTCCAAGTGTCTGCTGCCCTGTGTGTCTACCTTTAAAATTTATATTCTTCTTAGCAATATATTTCTTTTCATTTGTATTTTATTTATTTTTAGGCTTATATATTTAAAATAAGAAAGCACATAAGCAATTAGGACTTTTTGTTCTTATGTCTAGTAATATCTTAAGTATTTTCCTATGTAAATATGTATTTTCCTATATATGTATGTATTTTCATAATATAGTTGCTGATATTTAACAGATCCTGGGGAAAAAAGTTCTCATTTATTCCTCTGTTTTTCCCTTCTCCCTTACCTCCTATTTCTTAGGATAATAATCTGGAGAGTAAACTTCAATTTGTTTACCTTTTTGAAGGAGTAATAAAGTTGTTTACTTTTGTTTAGTAAAGTCATGTGTCTTCAAACAACAGTACTGTGACCAATAGTTCAAGGAAAAAGGCTGAATAGCATAATCTTAAAACTTGTATAAGTACAATAATACTAAATAAAATAGTATCATAAAGAATACATTATTTAATAACACTAACTTGTAACAATCAGCCTAATTCTTCACTAAACAGTTTTCCCTTCGTTAATGCCTTAGAAATAACCCACAAGTCTAAAGAAAGACTACTTCTAGGGACCATGAATATGAATTTCAGTGGAGAAAGCGTAAGGATCTACTTTATTCTGATTCCATCTGTATCTGTGACTTGGTATGGGGCCTTCAGTATCCCACTCAGTTCTTTGTGTCTCCTCTTCTGTAAACAGATGGTCATACTTCATTGCATATGTCACTGTAGTGTGGTAAAATAAAGATCATGACAGTGAATTTCTTTTTTAAAAGCCCCTAGTATAAGTAGTTGCTCATGATCATAAAAACCTCTCCTACAGAAGGTGACGGTACACTTTATTTACAGGTAAATAATTACTGTAGTGGATTTCAGAGAGAAACCACACAGGTTTGGGAAATAAGCAGTTAATGCGTACCTTTCTATCCTTATTGTATACAAACACTTTTGTATTATATAAACCCCAACACTTTTCTCCATACTGTATAAACACAAATATATCGGATCATAGAATCACAGAATCGTTTAGGCTGGAAAATCCTTCAAGATCATCAAGTCCAACTGTTACCCAAACCCTGCCATCCCATCACTAAACCATGTCCCTGAGTATCTCGTCTGCCTGGCTTTTAAATACCTCCAGGGATGGGGACTTGACCACTTCCCTGGGCAGCCTATTCCAATGCTTAACAACCCTTTCAGTGAAAAAATTTTTCCTAATGTCCAATCTAAACCTGCCCTGGTGCAACTTGAGGCCATGATGTTACACTAAGTTCTATCCTTTACCCAGTTCACAATTACCTTTTGCTGACGCAGAAATGGCTAGGCGTCATTATTCAGGAAAGGAGAAATGAAAATATTCTTAACACACTTCTAATAATGACTGCCCAACAGCCAGGCTGATTTAGTCAGCGGAACATTGCCTTCCCATAAGTGCAGTATGTGCTATGTCACCACTGATCAGAGTAGCAGTGCCCAGAGAGGCGTCAGCTTGGCACTATGGACTCAGTGTAATCATGGGAGCCAAGAACTGCCAGTCTGATTTCTGCTCTGAGGCTCTACCTGACCCTTTGCGCAGCTTTGATCACATTAACAACCTTCAGCTACAAAATGGGGATAAAAGTTTAAATTTTATAAAAGTATCATGAGTTGTGAAATTTGAGTTCCACAGAAATGCTACATCCTACTACTGAAATATTAGAGAGAACGTCTTTTGAAAAACATCTTATATTCTAACACAGAATGAATTTGAGGCAGGCTGAATTATTGGCATTAGAACATGAAGGCAGTGCATATGTATTTCATATATGCAAATTCCTCATAAGGAACCAATAACTGTCTGACAGCTAAAATGACATTATTGCACTAAACAAGCAGGGGCTGTTCTCAGCCAAACAGAGGAGAAGCCAAGCCAGCCGCGGTATACTTGAAACCATTTCTTGAAAAGAAGCAGACTAAGGAATCCTAAGTTCTAACCACCCTCCAAACCACGAGCGAAGAGAGGAAGATGGCTAGGCCCAGGAATGCTAAATCAGGAAGTGCTTGTGGTTAAAAACAGAAGCAACCACATGAATAAGAGGTTTTAGGAGACAGCTAGGCGACGCTGATTGAAAAAAAAATACTAAAGCACAGAAAAAAGAAAAACAAGAAAGATTAAAAGGCCCCAAAAGATCTTTGTGCATTTGAATCTGGTGTCAGGAGAACAGAAAGGTAAAACCCAAGTAACTAAATATTTAGACATCCTGTAAGAATAAAACTTTCTTGTTGTTTAAAAAAAAAATAAATCTCCATTTGGTCTTCCTTCACCATCTGGAAGCTTTCTCTTACACAAGCAAATGAATGAAACACACACAACATAAAAATAGTTTTCATTTTCTTCTACACACCCAGAAAAAGATCTCTTAATGGCAATCCCCAAAATGTTCAGCCTTATATGACTCCATGGAGACCCTCTGAGCTACCATTGATCATCTGTAATGTTCCTCTCAGATGCTAACAAGCAGAATTTAATAAAAATATGAAAATGAGTAATGTTTCAACATTAAACACAAGAGGAAAACTAGTTTTAATTATCCTATGAATGCTTGCACTGAGTAGGCAGGAAAAGATTTCCTGCATATAAATCATGCTATGGTATTAAGAAAATAATGGATGTAGCTCCTAACTGTTGTCCCACCCCTTACCTTCTATATTGAATGAACTCTTTAATGAGAAAAATTTTTTTGGGGGTAAGTAATGATGCAAAGGAAAGCAAGGCAAAACAAAACAACATGATTCTAATTTGCCCTTTCCAGCAGTATAATACACATAATCCACAACACTTTTTATCTGGAATTGGATCAAAGCACTGAAGAAGTACTGTTAATTTGTGGGAACATAACACATCTGCATATGATTAGAGAGATGCTGCCACTTACCATTTGAAATGAGGAACTTGCTGTTCATATGTAAAAGAACTCTTCCCTTCCAACCCAACCCATAAGTCTAAAATGCTCCTTTAAAAGACTTTAAATGGCATGGGAGGAGGGAACACTGTGCCAAAAGATAGAGGACTCAAGCTTTGAAGCTGTAGGCATCTACATCATGTTGACTGTTACATCCAGTTTGCTCTGCTAATAAGTGAGGAAATGAGAATTGCCCATTATTAGATGGGACTGGCCTCTACTTAGCTGTAAGGAAAATTACAATCTGGGTTTCATATTCCTTTTCTTTAGGTACGACGGTTTGAGGTCAGTTTATCAAATAAGTATTTTTGGGGGAAAATCATGACTTTGATGCCACAAGATTTTCCTCTGCATCAGCTTGATTTTTTTTAGTGAACAGGAAGTATGAGGATTTCACTGTAAGAGTTTTCAAACCCTGGAACAGGGGCCAAGGGCGGTGGCAGAATCTTCATCCTCAGGGATACCCAAAACTCAGCCGGACGCGGCCCTGAGCATACTGATTCAAGCTGAGCAAGGGGTTGGACTAGACCTCCAGAGGCTCCTTGCAACCTGACTTATTCTACAGAACATCATGCCTGTTTCATATTCATTTTGATAGAAAGGTTCCTTTCATGAAAAATAAAAACAAAATATAAAAAGAAGGTGTCTGAGAGTTGCCCTCACATCGAAGAATACTTTCTGGTCTCTATCACACCTGCATCAAGCGGCACACCTGTCACAGAGAGAGCAAATCCAACCATTCCCACCAAAAAATGCAGGTGTCCTTGCACAGATCCATCTCTGCCCAATTGCGAATTGGACGTACAGTTGAAGTAGGTTCAACTGTTGATTGCTCCAGCCTTTGCCACTGTGTCTCCATGCAGATAAGGATTGTTCTAACAGTACTACGTCTGCAGAGGAGCTGCAACAACACCTATCTAGAACTGAGCAAAAACAGGACTCTCAATACTTTTTGGGGGTAGAAGTCTCCAGAGAAATGTTGGCCTTATACCATATTCTTAGAATCCCATTATTCTCTGTGCCTAATAGTCCTGGTATATTTTAAACAGTACATACAAGAGAGATGCCTAAAACAAACAGCCAGGAAAACAAACTATTTCTTCGTTCATAAAATCTCATACTTTCTTTGTTTCAAGAATAGGAAATATATAAAACATGTCAAAAGAGTGAGTAGTTAATTTATACAAGTTAACACAACTAATGACATGTTATGCTAAAATCTCCAGTCTCAGAAAAGTGAATGAAAGACTATTCTTGTCTTCTGATTTCCTGCATAAAATGGATGCTTTAATCTTGTCTGGCACAGCCTTTCAGAGAGTTAACTTCAAGTCTATGTAATTAATCAACAATTCTTCTGTCATCAACAGAAGTGTCCCTTTCCTTTGCTCATGGATTGTAGTGATGGGTGTTTTACAAAATTTTTGAGTTTCCAGTCTCTCAAAGATTTTGATGGACAGTTTTTGTCAAAACTGAGTGGTAACTTAATTCAGATTTCCAGATTCATAGAAATTCAGATTTATATCATAGGCAGCCCACTTATTTTTATTTTCAGGAGTTAACTCAATCTAGTGTTCTTTTAGTAACAAGCTGTAAAATCTAATTCTAGCTAAAGTATAAAAGCAATGCTAAAATCTATCAATATAATTTTTGCTATTGCTTGTAAAATTAGGCATATGCTTTTATCTGCGTTTAAATCTTTTTCTCTATTACAGTGATTCGAGCAAAAATATCCAGTGAAAAGGTGGTTCCTGCCAGTGATGATCCTCTTGATACCCACAAAATGATCCGGTATGAAATCAAACAAATAAAGGTACATGGAATCACTTAGCTATTTTGAAGTTCAATGCTAATAACCTGTGTATATGACTACAGTTTTGCCATAAATGGTTTAAGATGGAACAGGCCCCAGCTGCCTCCACAGTTAAGACATAGGTGAACTATATAGAATACATCAAAGTAGAGATGAAAAAAAAAAAAAGGAAAAAAAAAGAAAGGTGTTCTGACATTCATGAGTTACTTGCTAAACTGTATTTTGATGACAATTTTTACTATTCACAATTGCTTTAGGAAGGCTAGAAAAATGTACCTCAGTTTGTGAATGGTATTCAATACATTTGCTCTTTCTGGCGGGTACTTGATTAACTATGTTGCACTATGATACTGCAACTCTCTGCCTGGATAATACAAACTTTATAAACAGAGGAGAGTGTTTCCAGCTGAAATAGCAAGGACCTTTGTTGCTAAGTGAATAGGGATACTTGCAGAAACAGGAGTCCTCTTCCCTGATCTTCATATAAATAAACCTCTATTTGTAGGAATACTGCTAGGAAAGCAAACACAAAGTGGGAGCACCCACAGAACAGAGTCATTTGGAATCTCACAGGGTTTCTCCATCATTTGTTCAGCTCCAATAAGGAGACATACATTAAAGTACTTTAAGTCAACATATCTTGATCCCATTCAAGTTATCATCATCACTGATAAAAAAGATCATGATCTACCTGTTTCTGGAATACACAAAAAATAGGCAGTCTCTTTCAATGAAAACGTATTAGCGTGCATTGGTGGGTTTTTTATTGTTTGGTTGATTTCTTTGTTTTAAGTTTTCTAGGCAGTTTTCTCTCTCATGTTTCAGAGAACACTATTTGGTATTATTTCTATTAATTTGTATTATTACATTTATTGGGAACACTTAAGTAGATCATTGTGAACAGCTACGTGCTTTCAAAAAAATTCAGTCCTTCAAATTGTATCAGTAGATCACCTCACAGGAGTTTACTAAGAAAAATCTAGGGTAAACAAGAATATCTCAGAATATTCACAAGCATGGTTATCACACATGACTCCTGTTAAGGTTTTATAGCAATTTCAATAAGCCAATTCTTTTTGCCTTGCTACAACAAACCCCCAAACTCCTCGCCATCTGCTACTTTCTGTCATCTTAAAGTATTAAGGATATTTTCAAAAGTTCCTTTATGGAAATAAGTATATAAATACCAGAGCAATTCTCTTCCCTCCCATTAGCACTTTAATTTTCTGTTACTACCTTGATTAATCTTACAGAAATGCGAATCATAAAGCATACTTCAGCACAAAAAAGAAGAATGACAAATCTAGTCTGTGTTACTATTTTCAGCCTATAATCCCATTCTTCAGTAACAGCACACTGTAATCTCCAAAATACATTCCTGTATTGGAGCTGCTTTGGAGTTTCTCCCAGGTTTTCATAAGTGGAGGCCTATTCAAAACTCAAGCATCAGTAAGAGATCTCTATTTAATTCCTCCCAGCTTCAGAAAGCAAGTCAGCTAGGACTGGAGAAACTAGAGGGATTTATTTTCTAATAAAAGATGCGCTACATCATTACATACAAGTTAGACTAAAGAGAAATGGGCCATGACAGTCCAACCCTTCAAATTCTTACTTCTGGTCAGAAGAGAGTTAAAGAAGAGGTAGGGGCTGAGGCTCCCACTCTGGCACACAGGCTGCTCAGCTGTGTTGGGACCCAGCTCCATGCTCAGCGTCTCTAACAAACCCAATAAAAGGATTTTTGTTTGAAACCTCCACAATACAGAGTGGGCGAGTGAACTGGAGCTTCTGCAATCTGCAAGTCTTTTGTGGCATTGCTAGTAAATTCAGTGTGGCACTGAAATAAATCCATAAAGGCAACTTTGCCTGCACCTGGCAAAGCACACAGGAACTGACAAAGAGTGATGTAAGCTGTTACATTCTAAACATGAAACTGACAGTTGGCATACGAGTAAAAATTAAACAGGACTGGGTATACTGAAAAATTACTGAGAAATACTTCTTAATTTAAAGAAGTTTAATAGGAAAGTGTTATGGAAACACTGTAAAGTCCACATCAAGTTACAAAAGTAGAGTGAGGAATTTTAAACAGCTCATGCTTGTAAACATTTGGTAAGTGTAAAATAATCAAAGTAATACAATGTTGTATGCAATCAGCCAGATTTGGCCATCTACCTCAGTGGAGCAGGACAGTTCACAGACTAATAACGTCACAGAAATAGCTTTTCAGAGATCTTCAAAGTGTGAGCCTGATGGACCAGTAACCTTATTTGCATCTCTCAGTTTCCTGAATAACTAAAAACTTTGTTGACCAGAGCAATAATTTGATAATGCTATTTCTATATCATTTGATAATGATATTTCTATATTTAACTGAACAGTCCCTTCAATGTCAGATGGCACTGTACCTTTTCCCTCAGACAACATTTAAAAGAATCTAAATAACATTTCTCATGTTGTAAATTTCATGACCTGCAGTTAGGATAAACTGAACAGTCCCTTCAATGTCAGATGGCACTGATCACCTGTGCCTGGCTAACCCATAAACATCTACAGGATTGGGGGGATATGCTAAGAATTCACTTTATATAACATGAAAGTAAGAACAGACTCTCTAATCATCTCTTTTGAGCTGTAGGATCTATCAAGCTAAAGCATGATTATCAACTCAGTATTAGTTTTGGTGAGTACTTTTTAAGCCACACACATATTCACACTTCCCTCAGCAATTCTTCTCCCCTCTTGGAAAAGAAAAACAGAACCTACAGAGGTTACATTTTACTGCAACTGTAAATTCAGCAAAATGCTGCTGCTTATCACTTACGTTACTCTCTGGGCTGTTTGACATGTAACATTAGTGTGACTGGATCATGCTACTCCTGTCACAAAAATTATATTTCTGTTATTTTAAATCCAGTGCATTGGGCTTAGCATTAAAACACTCATCTTTTTGAACAGAAACATTAAACATGACTTTCTTATTAATTTTCAGAAATACAAAAAAGAATTATGGGGTTTATTAATTTTATAGGTATGGGCTGGCATGTTAAGAAGCCATACACGTTTTTCAATTACTGTTATTTTATTTTATTGCAATATTTATAGCATTATACTAAAGAGAGAAGAAAATATGTGATTTATATGCAATTGAGTATTTGTCTTCATAACATTATTGTTATTGACTTGGTTATCATACTTACTCTGAGATGCCACCTAAATATTAAAATAAAAGTGCCATTAGCTTTCATGATGCTTTGTCCTGTATTATTAGAGTAGTTAATTAAGGCCCAAGATATTACTGTCATATGTGAAATCAACATATTTTACCAAATTAAACTAGTATAAGCAAAATTGCTAAGTATTTTCCACACAAGCTGCATGGGTGGAAAAACACTGTAAGAATTAGGCTTGCTTTTACAAGATGGTGGGGTCCCCCCACAGTGGGAATAAGAGGAGGTATTTAAGCTAAACACGGTACCTACACTTACGACATGTGCAGTTTTAAAGCTAGGTATTAGTCACTACATAAAGCTAAGAAAATAAGCCATGATATAGCTGAAAAGGCTTCAAGAAAAAAAAAGATACAAGAATGTAATTATTATAACAGGAACATGCCTGAGACAGAGAGTAATATAGATAGTCTTAAAAAAACCGGTATTCTAAAAATCTTAAAGCAATAGCTGTGTACTGGTCTCGGGTACATACTTCAGAAGGACAGGGACAGTATCAACATAGACCTTAGTATCAGGCTCACATCGCTATTCTCCCGATCCCCCACCCTTTTTTCCTACTTCCATGAAGTCCTACCAGAACCTCAAATGTAAATGACCATACCACAATGCAGAATCGAATCGAGCCATCTTATCCCTTTACAGAGAAAGTATCCACATTTTTAGGAGATGTGAGAACATGATTGAGAAGATCAAATAGGATTTACTAAATTAAACATTAAAATCTCAAGAAACGCTTTAACAAATATCTAGGTCAAAACCAGTGATAGGCCAGAGCTGTAATTTCAAAAAAGCCCTGACCAACCAACCAAAGAACCCCCAACAAAACAAACACCAAACTCATTTAAATATTAACTAGATGGCCATTAGAAATTGCTACGCATATTTACCTTTTTTTTTATAGCTGAACCAATTTGTGTTGTCTGCATAATGCCTCTTAATTTGATTTAGATCAAGTGATAAGATATTAAAAGAAAATTTGTACCCTGTTACACATTGTAGCCCAATGAAAGGTTTCTGAATGTGGAGAGGACTCCAGTTGGAGAGCACTGGCATGGTTCACATAGTTACCATGTACTAGACATCGGTGTCTGGTACCCACACCCTGAGTAAGGCAGATTTAAGGGTAGCAGAAGCAGGGGATTCCCGTTCTGAAGCTGGCAGGAATCAAATGGCTCTGAAAAGGAGCGAGGAAGGGCCACGTCTCCCAGTGACGTGCCAGGATAGCAATCACGCAGATTCTCCGCAATGGACGTGCAGTCTGCTC